CCCAACTAGAACAAGACACAATAGCTACATTTGCAGATGATATTGCTATCCTAGCGATAGGCAATGATCAAGAGGCTGCAAATAAACTACAAACATCAGTTAATCAAATAAATAATTGGACCGAAAGATGGCGAATTAAACTAAACGAAACCAAATCTGTTAATATTAATTTTACTAACAAAAATGGTCAAAGAATACCAATTAACATAAATAATGCTCAGGTTGCTTATGCTAACTCGGTAAAATATCTAGGTATTACATTAGATGCAAGACTTCGCTCAAGGTCCATGTTAAAAAGAAAAGGCAAGAGTTAGATATAAAATTCAAGAAAATGTACTGGTTACTTGGTAGGCATTCCAGCCTATCTACATATAACAAAATTCTATTACATAAATTGGTTCTCAAACCAATTTGGACCTATGGCATTCAGCTTTGGGGTTGTGCTAGCTACAGTAATATTCTAATAATCCAGAGATTCCAGAACAAAGTATTGAAGAACATTGTCGATGCTCCTTGGTACATTAGAAATAGCGACCTTCATCGAGACCCTCAGATGGACATTTTTGACCAAACTATCACCAGATTCGTTAGGAGTCACGAACAATCGCTCCATCAACATGTGAACGTTGAGGCGATCCAGCTTCTTGACAATACGAACCTGACAAGAAGACTCAAGAGAGTGAAACCTGTTGAGTTAGCCAAGTGATTGTGTTTATAACAAAGCAAAGCATTGTGAGGTTTAGTGTTACACGTTAGTTTAATGTAATTAAGTTATCAGACCCTAAAGTATACTAGCGTGTAGAACCTTAGTTTTTAAGTTGGGTTATAACAAAATTACTTATTGATCAACTCTTGATCAGATTGTGCTATTAATAAACGCCCCTTTTGGAGTGTTTTATCATAAAAGAAAATTAATCTCTTTCTAAAACCGTTTTTTTATAATCTTTTCACATTACTTATTATTTATATCCTTCCAAAATATTCTCTTTTTGAACACAAATTATTTTATTTCTCATTTCTCTAAAATATCTTTAATCGGAATTGTTCCCTAAATATATTTCCTAATTTATTTTCCTCTTAAACTATTGTAATTATCCTATATACACGATAATTTTTCCTATTTCCATTTCATTTTCCATATTCTATTTTTATCTAGATTTTCAAGATTTTCCGTCTCTCTTTAAAATTTTATCTTCTCTCTGACTTTAGTCATCTCTCTTTCTTTTTCTGATAATCTTCTATTTTTCATTATCTTTTCAAATGCCTGCCTATATTTAATTTTCGTTTTCCTCTTCCTTATATTTTTGATCTTTTGTTTGGCACTAACTTTATTTTTATCATTTTATATTTTGATTTTTCCAATTTCGTTTATTTTCTTTCTCGACTTCTTTAATTCTTCAATTTTTGTTTTACTTTTATTTTGCTTCCTAATACATATTTCTTCAATTTCTATTCATATCTCTTTTATTTTTTGGCTTAAATCTTTTTCCATGTTTCAAAGGTTCTTCTTTGTTTTCAACCTCTATACTTCTGTCAATCATTCCCACCCTTATATCATTCTTATTCTCTTCTATTTTG